CCCAGCTGGCTTCCCAGGCCTCCACGAGAACCAAGGCCCTGGCCTGGGGGGAAACTGATGAAATCCAGTCAGACAGATAAGACGGGCCCTGCCCTAGGAGAGCGCCTGCTGGGAGGTAAAAGCCGCAGACAGTGCCAGAAGAGGGCTGCTGCTGCGGTGGTTGAGAGCTTCCTGGAGAAGGTGACCTTGAGGGTTTAGGGATGGTGGCAGATGGAGAGCAGAGCCTGTGTGGGGAATGGGTAGGGAGCATGTGGGTGTGCAGCCAGGGTGGAAGGCTGGAGCCTGGGAGAAAGCCTCCATGATGATCTGAGACTTTGGCTTAAGCTCGGGAGGTGGGATCAGGAAGGCAGCTAGATCAGGTGTGTGGTGGTAAAGCTCTGGAGTTGATCCTGCACAAGCTCTGGGGGAGTCGGGTGGGGTTGGTGGGGGGGGGTTGGTTTGGGGGCAGGGAGTTCCCAACTGATCACCGTTTCCCCATACCCACAGGCAGCAGGACCTGTATCGAATCCTGAAGGCCTACACGATCTACCGGCCCGACGAGGGCTACTGCCAGGCCCAGGCCCCCGTGGCTGCAGTGTTGCTCATGCACATGCCTGCCGAGGTCAGCAGACGCCCAACCTGGTCGGGGAGGGGCTGGGCCTGCAGGGGTGACGGGGGAGCTCCCTGCCCCGCCCCGTTCCTCTGGCCCCATCCCTCCCTCCTTGTTCTTGTCCTTCTCAGCAAGCCTTCTGGTGCCTGGTGCAGATCTGCGACAAGTACCTCCCCGGTTACTACAGCGCAGGGCTGGTGAGTGTCTGGAGGCTGGTGCACCTGGGGCTATGACTTGTTCCTAAGACTGCAGGGCGGGCCTGGTCCTGCCTCACCCTGTGCCCTTCTGGCTGGCTGTTCTGGGCCCCTCCCACTGAGGTGAGGATCCCACCTCATGGATGGGATCTGACTACCAGCGCTAGTCCTACCCCAGTGGGCCCACAGCCAGGGGGCCTCTTCTCATGGTTCATCCCACCTCCAGGAGGCCATTCAGCTGGACGGAGAGATCTTCTTTGCCCTGTTGCGTCGGGCCTCCCCACTGGCGCATCGACACCTGCGACGGCAGCGCATTGATCCTGTGCTCTACATGACGGAGTGGTTCATGTGCATCTTCGCCCGCACCCTGCCCTGGGCTTCAGTGCTCCGGGTCTGGGATATGTTCTTCTGTGAAGGTACTTCTGTAGCCACGCAGGCCAGGAGGGGGGTGGGTTCCCATGGTGGCTGCCAGAGTGGGGCCTGCTGACAGAAGGCTGCTTCACTGAGATTCGTCTTGGGGCTGGAGAAACTGAGGTTTGATCTTACTGGCTCTGCCACCAGCCACAGCTTGCTTTACCTCCTAGGAACCTAAAACCCCTGGCGGCTCATTTTCTCCTTCTCGAGGCCTCCATTTCCTCATCTGTCGGGTCAGCAGTACACAGGGATGGGGGCTGTGAGTACCCCCTGCACGGGCCAGGCTGAGACTCCCAGGCTAATCACCCATGGCCTCTTCTCTTCGGGCCTGCAGGCGTCAAGATCATTTTCCGGGTGGCCCTGGTGCTGCTGCGGCACACGCTGGGCTCGGTGGAAAAGCTGCGCTCCTGCCAAGGCATGTATGAGACCATGGAGCAGCTACGGAACTTGCCCCAGCAGTGCATGCAGGAGGACTTCCTGGTGCACGAGGTAGGTCCTGGCCTTAGCGTACCTCACACCTGCTTCAGTAGATCCCCACCCCCCACTTCACCCTGGTACCCATGTCTTCTCCATCTAGGTGACCAACCTCCAAGTGACAGAAGCACTGATTGAGCGAGAGAATGCAGCCCAGCTCAAGAAGTGGCTGGAAACCCGGGGTGAGCTGCAGTATCGGCCCTCACGGAGACTACACGGTTCCCGGGCCATCCACGAGGAGCGCCGGCGGCAGCTGCCCCCCCTGGGTCCCTCCTCCAGCCTCCTCAGCCTCCCTGGCCTCAAAAGCCGGGGTTCCCGGGCAGGTGGAGGGGTCCCCTCCCCACCGCCTCCCGTCCGCAGGGCCAGCGCAGGGCCTGCCCCAGGGCCAGTGGTCACCGCCGAGGGACTGCATCCATCCCTTCCTTCGCCTACTGGCAACAGCGCCCCTCTGGCCCCCAGCGGCAAGGAGGCCCGGAGGCAGGAGAAGGAGCGACAAAAACAGGAAAAGGAACGCGAGAAAGAGCGGCAGAAACAGGAAAAAGAACGGGAGAAGCAGGAGAAGGAGCGGCAGAAACAGGAGAAGGAGCAGCAGAAACAGGAAAAGGAGCGGCAGAAGCAGGAGAAGAAGGCCCAGGGCAGGAAGCTCTCGCTGCGTCGAAAGGCAGATGGACCGCCCGCCCCCCAGGACAGCGGGGACAGGTCCTCAGCGTCAGAGGCCCGGCAGGATGCATACTTCTGACCTCTGCCCTGGGGCTGGACTGCGTGGCCCCCTCTTTTCCCTTAGCCAAGAGCAGACCTAGCCTGGGGTGTTGCTCCCAGCACGCCCTTGGCAGGCTGTCCCTCTTTCTGAGGAAAGTGGCTTGATTCCCCGTCTCCGTGCCAGCCGCTGATCCCCACGTGGCCGGGACAGTCAGAGAACGGGGGGCAGCTACATTTCCCTGGGGGAGCAGTGGACACCTCACCTCCAACTCGGCCCAACTGGGGTCCCTTCCCAGGTGTCGTCCTCCTGATTGGCCTTTGGTCACCACAGGGGTGATTTGTGGTAGTGGGAGTCAGCAGTTTTCAGATTCTTACACTCCAGTCACGCCCCTTACCCATGAAGTGAAGCTGGGTTCCTTTACCCCCTTCAGTCCTGCCTGTCTCCCCTAGTTCCTGGTTGGGGGCCCAGGCTCTTCTTGCTCTCCTTCTGGACATCTCTGTGTTGTAATTATGTACAGAGGACCTGGTTGGCCCAGGGTGGGGGTGTTCACTCCATCTTCTGTTCCCTGGTTCTCCCTCCCCAGTGTTCTTGCACTCTATAGTTTATTTAAGGGGACATGCACTGGAACAGGAAATGTCTCCCACCTCCCACCACCACCCTCCTTGCTCTCCTTCCTCTTCACCCACCTTCCTCTGTATTCTCAGGCCTCCCCTGCTTTGTCTGACCAGGGCCCCTGCCTTTCACTTTGTCCCTCCCAACCCTCCAGCCCCTTCCTGGGTAAGGGGTCTTCCCCTGAGCTCTAGGGGGTGGAACCCAATGTTTACATGTTTTTCTGTCTCTGCCCCCACCCTGTGCGGCGCTTTGAGGAACCGGAAAAGAACCTGCTGTTGTACCTGGGCCTGTCTTCTGCCTTGTTATTTGATGAATGGGGTTAAAATAAGGACAAGGAGGGAGGGAGTGGTGAGTTAGCAAGGATCTGGGTGTCTCTTGAAGCTGTTGACTGGTCTTGGCAGGTACCTTTGGGTCTTTAGTCTTATTAGTCGCCGCTCATCAACAGTTGGTGAGCTCCTGCTTCACCTCCACCTGCTCGGGATCTGCTGCCTCCGTTGTCACTGGCCTCCTGGAACTGTCTATGGACCGCCTGCAGCATACGGATCTCCTTTCCAAAGTGCTCGTGCAACTCCTGGAAGCTGAAGAGGGTCCTGGGGGTGGCTGGGGAGCCACAGTCCTCTGGGGGTGAGCCAGGTTCTTGGCCAGCTGCCTGACACAGCTCCCGGTACTGGGCCTCCAGGGGGCGTAGCAGCACAGCCAGCCGCGTCCAGGTGGCTCCGGCCAACGCCCACAGCCAGGCTCTCAGCTCCTCCCGGTTTTCCGCTGCCAGCTTGTAGGCCCGCCCACCTCCCCCTGGAGTCCGAATAGTAAAGGCAAAGGGTTCTGTGGCTCCAAGGCGTGGCTCCACCTGGCAGTTCTCTAACAGGATGAGGCCCAGGGGTGTGTGGTCAGCCTGGTGTTCCAGGTAGAAGAGGAGATTTCCCCGCAGGATGAACCAACGGCGCTGATAGCTGGTATTTCGGGCCCCCTTCTTTAGCAGGATGCCCTCCCGGTCTGGAGCCTGTGTTCTGTACCCACGGAAGAAACGGAGCACGGACTTTTGGTGCAGTTTCATGGTAGCCCACTGTGGGAAGAAACCCTAAGAGCAGAGAAAGGAGGAGTGGTGCAGTTGGTTATCCGGGGTACCCCCGCACTACCCTCCTCTGGCTCCAGTAGGCTCTTTCTGGGCCCAGTCTTGGTCTTGGTCTAGAGGGATTCCAACTCTCGAGTATTCTCAAGAGGGACCTCCCAACCTCACTTCTGCCCCTTGGGTCAAATTACAAAACCTGGGCAGGACTGTAGGGCTGGGGCCCTGTTTGGGGTTGGGGTGGGGGGCGGACATCCACTACAGCCCTTTCCTAGGCCTACCTGAGATGAGGGCACAAGGGACTTCAGGCCTCGGTACTGGGAACAGGTGCCACTGCCACCTCTCCTATTTTTGACTCTTTCCACCTCAGAAACCAGGAACTTACCCAGGGGATAGGAGGTGGCTGATTTTAGACTTCCCCTGGGTCCTAAAAGGAGCTAGGTTCGGAAAGTGTCCCAGGAGCCTCCAGGAGAACCGAGCTCCCGGAGAACCTCTGGGACAAGAGCAAGGCTACACCTCGGACTAGCAAAGGGCGGACAACTGGACGCCAAGAGTAGGAAGGCAAGATTTCTAATGAGATGATGAAGGGCGCAGAGCCAGCCGTGGAGAAAAGGAGACTCAGCCCGGGAAAGAGAAAACTAGGGCAGAAACCCACCGGCCCTGCTGGGACTTTGCTCCTCCATCGTGAACCTGGGCGGCCCTTTCAGTAAAGCGGGCTCCACTTTCTCCTCAGAGCCTCTACTGTTGTAGGAGGAAACCGAGACCACTTCCGGCCATCCTTGTCCGATCAGGGTCTAGGCGTTCAAACGTCCCCTCTTCTCACCATAGTCGCCCCACGCGGCTCGCGTCACTTCTGGGAAGGGGCGTTCCCTTCCCGCGCGGCGCGTACTTCCGCCCGCTCCTTCAGTTGTTGATCTAACTCGAGTGAAGCCACTTCCGGCCTTCCCCGACGCCTTCAGCAGTTCTCTTCCGGGTGGTGGCGGGCGGGTGGCCCGGATGTAGCCTTGGTGAAAACCTCTGTCCCTTTCTTCCCCCACCTTTCCTGGATCCTTAGGTGAGCGCGTGCCGGCGGGACTGCTGGTGTCCCCGTGGCCCTGCCGCCTTTCTAATTTGTATACAGCCCAAGACAGTTGGGAGTCACCCCGCGGAGTTGGGAGTTCGGCGCAGGGAGGAGCGGGGCTGCCAGGGCGCTAGGTCCTGGGTCCGCCGGGGCTCCTCCGGCTCCGAGGAAGCTGGGGGGTGGTGGAGCGGGTGTTTGCCCTCGGAGCACGTCCCGCCCAGCACTGCTGGGGCCTGGAATGAAGGTGGTCACGTGGGGGAGCCCGTCTCTTCTTCTCAAGGGTGGGGGGTGCCCGTAGGAGTTCCTCCGCCAGTCCGCTCTTGCGTCCCCGCTCCAGCAGCTCTTTTAGATGCTAAGCCAAGTCCCGGGGGGGTTTCTGGACTGCCAGCTCCCCTTTAGGCTCCTGATTCTGTACTCCCTCCCTTCCCAAAGTGGATCTAGTACCCACCAAGTCAAAGATCTGTTGTGCAGGGGGCCCCCTCGCGGGGAGTTGCCTCCTCACCCAATTCCCTTAATCTGCACCCTTTCCCTCTGCTCAGTTTGGGAAAAGCCCTTCTGTCCAGTCATGCCAAAGAGGAAAGTGACCTTCCAAGGCGTGGGAGATGATGACGAGGATGAAATCAGTGTCCCCAAGAAAAAGGTGAGGGGGCCAGACTCCTCTGTTCTGCGGCGGAGTGAGGGGAGAAAAAAAAATTAGAAGCCAGAAGAGAGATCTGGAGAGACAAAGAAAGGATGGAAAGGGCCAGCTTTTCCGCGTATTTCTGAGATATGGCTTTGCAGGATTTTCAGTTTGAGTGTAGATCCTAGAGTATTTGGGGTCATAGCCAGTAACTTGCTTCTTTCTTAACATCTGTCTCCTGCCCACAGTTGGTGGACCCTGTAGCTGGGGTAGGGGGTCCCGGGAGCCGCTTCAAAGGCAAACACTCTTTGGACAGCGATGAGGAGGAGGAGGAGGATGAAGGGTCCAGCAAATATGACATCTTGGCCTCAGAGGATGTGGAAGGTGAGCTGTACCAAGAATTGACTTTTTGCTGGGGGAACAAATAGGGACGTCTGGGATCATGGAGGACGGTAGGCTCCTGTCTCTTGCACGCCTAGCATGGGATTCTTGTGTCTGTCTTGGTGCAGGTCAGGAAGCAGCTACGCTCCCCAGTGAGGGAGGTGTGCGGATCACACCCTTCAACTTGCAGGAAGAGATGGAGGAAGGCCACTTTGATGCAGACGGCAACTATTTCCTGAACCGGGATGCTCAAATCCGAGACAGCTGGCTGGATAACATTGACTGGGTGAGGCCTGGAGACTAGCATGGCTGGGTCTGGGCCTTGCTGGCAGTTTTTCAGAAATAAAACCTTCCTGTTTTCCCATTGCAGGTAAAGATCAGGGAGCGGCCACCTGATCAGCGGCCGCCGTCAGACTCAGAGGAGGAGGACAGCCTGGGCCAGACGCCAATGAGCACCCAAGCCCTCCTGGAGGGCCTTCTGGAACTAATGTTGCCAAGAGAGACAGTGGCTGGGGCACTGAGGCGTCTGGGAGCCCGAGGGGGAGGCAAAGAGGGCAGCAAGGGGCCCGGACGGCCCAGCTCCCCCCAGCGCCTCGACCGGCTCTCCGGGTTGGCTGACCAGATGGTGGCCCAGGGCAACCTGGGAGTGTATCAGGAGACAAGGGAACGGTTGGCCATGCGACTGAAGGGGTTGGGATGCCAGACCCAGGGACCCCGTGACCCCACACCGCCCCCCTCCCTGGACATGTTTGCTGAGGAAGTGGCGGAAGGGGAGCTGGAGGCCCCAACCCCTGCCCAGAGAGAAGGTAAGATTAAAGGGAAGAGGAGAGGGGGATTGTGGGCAGGGGGCAGGCCACTGGAGGCCCAAATGACTTGGCCTGTTACTTTAGAAGCAGAGTCACCCAGAGATGATCTGGCGGACGTGATGTGGGAATATAAGTGGGAGAACACAGGGGATGCTGAGCTGTACGGGCCCTTCACCAGCACCCAGATGCAGGTAAGCTCCTCTCTACTTTGCTGTGCCTCTTCTCTCCCTCCCCCCACCCCATCAGTTCTCTCCCAGCTCTGCCCTTTCTTCCTGCAGACCTGGGTGAATGAAGGCTACTTCCCAGATGGCGTTTATTGCCGGAAGCTGGACCCCCCGGGTGGCCAGTTCTACAACTCCAAACGGATTGACTTTGACCTCTACACCTGAGCCTCCTGAGGGCCCAGTTTGGTGGTCCCTTCTTGCCTGGACTCTGTGGAGGAGGCCCCAGCTGCCTCAGGCAGTGAAGATGTTGGGGGCCACTTTTCAGTCAACTTCCTTTTCCCAATAAAAGCCTTTAGTTGTGTTTTAGGGACCTTGGCTGTGCTGATGGCCAGAAGCTGGAGCCAGGAACCTCTTCCAGGTCCCTTTGAACTTGTTCTTGCCCTTAATGTTTCCTCTCATGAAGTTCCTCCTTGGGAGTTTCTCTCTGGACCCTCGAACCACCTCACCTTTGTTTCCCATTCCTTGGGGCAGAGCCGGGCCTATCAGGTGTCCTGTGGCCTCCCAGTCCGGACTTTGTTCTCAACTGAAAAATCTCTCTACTCACATGCTGTTTTCCAGAGTCCCCTGGGGGTTCCTGTTTTGCTGTTCTTAGGTCTTTGGCTTCTAGGACCTAAGATGTTCTGCCTTGTAACCAATATAGGATAGAGCCCCAGAAGTGGAGACTTGAGGCTTGGATGGGCTGGGACATCTGTTGGGAGTGAGCAGGAAGGCTGATGCTTACTGGGTCGCTCCCCACTGTCTCAGGCTTCTTAGAAGCATATAGAAATGGCCCCTGAGGTAAAGTCTAGACTCAGTGTTGGCACCTAAAGGACTTTTCAAGGCCACCTGAGCCAGTCTACACAGGCCCAGAGATGGGCAGTGTCTCACTGGAGGTGAGGACTGTCCCCAACCCAGTGGACTCCCTTCAAAGGCCTTTCTTGGCACCAGGCCCTTTCTGACTGGCCTTGGAGTCTCTGCAGCTTACATTTCCTGGGCTCCTACAATATGTCTGACTCAGTTTAGTTATTTTAGGAAACTGCGAGAACTGGGCTGGTCCTCTCCATTCAGAGTGGGTCTGGGGAGGATTGGGAGGAAGACTGATAGGTGTCATTGTATAGTCTGGACCTAACACCTTCCACCTCCCGCCGGTGCTGCCTCATGCTTCTCCTCACTCACACCAGTTAGTTCTCCACCTGGCTGTCTGTTGGAATCTATGGGGAACATCACTCCTCAGACATTATGAATGATTTGGTCTAGGGATGGCCTGGGTCTTTTAAAAACTCCCAGGTGTTTCCCATGTGCATCCAGGGGGAAAACCACAGGGCCCAAGTCGAGGTTATACCAGGGGAGAGGGGCCGGTTCATGGACCAGTTCATGTGTTAGAGCTGAACGTGGGTGTGGCCGTGGTTTTGGTGGAGTCAGTTAGCCAAGAGTTGAGCAGCAGAGCCACGGGGCACTGGGCGTCCTGGGGCGGAAGGAGGCAGGCCCAGAACCAGGAACGGGTGGAGGGGCTGGGTGGGGATACTTGATTCTCTAGTGAGGCAGCTACCTTCTATAATAGTTAATGTCGTAGCAGTGGGGCCCACTCTAGTGCTCTGTCCAGACCTGGATTTCATTGACTTCAAGATACCTTCAGTTTTAAGATGTCTTCATGTGTTCGGAAGAAAACCCTGCCCATTGCAGTTGTAAGATACTGATTCAAAGCTGCATCCTGATTTCAGATATGTTCCAAAGTGAAAAAACAGATGTCTTAGGACCAATGAAATACAGTATTCACATTTATATCCCTGGTGACTGACTCATGGGAGGTGCGAAGTGTTTGGTGAATAGGTGGAAGCCAAGGGGAAGTTCCCCCAGATGTCCTGCAGGCATCCCAGGCTCCATCCAAAGCTGAGGACACATCTTTTCTGTGTTTACATCCCTGAGGACAACAGGTGTGGGCAGATTAATGGCCCCCCAAAATGGCCACATCCTAAGCCTCAGAAGTTGTAAATGTATGGCTATCTGGCAAAAGGGAGCTTGCAAACATGATCACGTTAATGATAGATGTGTCTTGGATTAGTGAGCTGGCCCAGTATGTTCACATGGGTCCTATTAAGTGAATGGGACTGAGGAGGGTCAAAGTGAGTGGGAGGTGAAGATATTAACACCTGCTCCTGGCTTTGCAGTTGCAAGATGGGGCCAGATACCAAGGAATGCAGGTACCTGTAGATGCTGGAACAAAGAAACGCAGCTCCACCGTGGTTTTGGCCCAGTGAAACCATTTGGGACTTTTGACCACTGCTAGAACTAATAAAATTGTACTGTGTTAAGTTTGAGGTCATGTGTTAACAGCCTCAACAGTAAACTAGCACTCCATCCAGCTGAGTGCCTCTCCCCCTCTTAAACCTCACTCAGTTCTTCATTGGCCATGTCCCTATTTCAAGCCCCTATCAACACTTAACTCCCTTGCCTTAAACCAAACAAACTGTGTGTGTATATATATGTGTGTGTATATACATATGCATAATTTTTATATGTGAGTATATATAAAATATTTTTTTGCCACACCCCGCACAGCCTGTAGCACCTTAGTTCCCTGACTGGGGCTCGAACTCGTTCACTGCATTGGAAGTGCAGAGTCTTTGTTTTGTTTTAATTTTTATTTATTTATTTTTGGCTGCACTGTCTCTTCATTGTTGTGTACAGGCTCTCTCTGCTTTCAGTGGGTGGGGGCTACTCTTCGTTATGGTGCACAGGCTTCTCTTGTTGCAGAGCACGGGCTCCAGGGCGCTCAGGCTTCAGGGGTTGTGTTTCGTGGGCTCCAGAGCACAGGCTCAGAAGTTGTGGCACAAGGGCTTCATTGCCCTGAAGCATGTGGAATCTTCCCAAACTAGGAGTCAAACCTGCATTGTCCCCTGCATTAGCAGACAGATTCTTAACCACTGAAGGGCCAGGGAAATCACTATATAATTTTTATATAAATAAGCTTTTTGTATCTTACAGTTGCTTTGTAGATTTACAAAAATAGTACAGAGCATTCACCCAGTTTCCTCTATTATTAACATCTTTCAGTGGCACATTTGTTAACAACCCATGAACCAATGTTGTTACTATTTTTATTTTTTTACTTGTTTTTGTTTTTGACATTACTATTTTTAAATAGCTTTATTTTGTTAGAATCCACCCACTTAAAGTACTATTGTTTTTAGTACATTCACAGGGTTGCAAAAGCATTGTTACAACCTCATTTTAGAATTTTGTCTAAAACCCCACCCAGCAGTAGTTCCTCCCCCATTTCTCCCCATCCCCACTTACCCTCCAGCCCCTGCCAACCTCTAACCTACTTCCTGTCGCTGGAGATTTGCCTGTTACTGGGCATTTCACACAAATGGAATCATCCCATGTGTGGTCTAGTGTGTTTTCTATGTCTACTTCTTGTACTTGGCATGTTTTTAAGATTCATCCGTGTAATGTGTAATAGTACTTTATTCTTCTTTATTGTTGGGTAACATTCCAGTGTATGGATGGATTACTCTATTACTACACTGTGTGGATGAATTAAACTTTTATTTATGTTTTACTAACTTTCCGTAACATGCCTGTTGTTTCAGAATCCTGTCTGGAACACCGTGGTACATTTAGCTGTCACGTCTCCTTAGCTTTCTCTGTTCTGACTACTCCTCCCACTTGTTTTCACTGACCTTGACTGGTTTGAGGAGTGCTGGTGTGGTTTTTTTATCAAATTCCTAAAATTTGGACTTGTCTGAAATTTCCCCTATGATTTGATTTGGGTTATGGGTTTGGAAGAGGAAGACAGAAGTGAAGAGCCGTGCCTTTCACTGAAAGTTTTTTTTTAAGTATTTACATCTTTTTTTATGTTACATAAGTGGAATTGGTTTCTATCTGTTTATGGCTGTGCTGGGTCTTCATTGCTGTGCAGGCTTTTCTCTAGTTGTGGTGAGCGGGGGGGCTACTCTCTAGTTGAGGTGTGAAGGCTTCTCATTGCTGTGGCTTCTCTTGGTGTGGAGCACAGGCTTTAGGACAGTCGGGCTTCAGTAGTTGGGGCACACAGGCCTGAGAGCCCCGGTTCAGTGATTGTGGCACATGGGCTTATTCGCTCCACAGCGTGAAGGATCTTCCTGGCCCAAGGATTGAACCTGCGTCTCCAGCATTGGCAGGTGGATTCTTTACCACTGAGCCACCAGGGAAGCCCCTCACTGAAATTTTCAAGGCTCCGCATTGCCCTCAAGATCAAGTTCGAAAACTTGACATTGATGGGTTTCCTATGGCCTGGCCTGAACTAGCCCTTCCAGCTCCACGTCTCCCTTCCTCCCTGCCTCCCTCAGCTCTAGGCTCCAGGCTTCATTACCAAAAGTTCAGCCTCTCTACACCGGTGCTAAATCAAATCTCAGAGACAGAGTTTTGGGTGGAATAGAAAAGGAGAGCTTTATTACTTTACCAGACAAAGGGGGACACACTGGGATTCTGACTCTAAAAACTATGTGCCCCAACCTGGGAGAATTTAATGATGGGATTTATAACATACGGATCACAGGTGAGGTCTCTGACAAGATTAGAGTACGAGCAGGGCTTTGTTGTTCAGTTGCTCAGTCCTGTCCGGCTCTTAGCGACCCCATGGACTACAGCATGCCAGGTTCTTACCACTGCGCCATCTGGGAAGACCAAGCGTCTTCCAAGGAGGCAGGACTGAGGGGTCGTTCGTTTCATTCTAACTCCTGAGGGTATCATTGAGCCAGGGGCAGATTTACAGGAGAGTTGAAGGTCAAAGATGCAGGTGTCCTTACTGCATCGGACACCTGCCCCTCTGAAATACAGCCTCTTGCCTTTGGCAGGCTGTTTTCTGGAAGAGTAGCAGGATTCGGGGAGGGAAGTCTGGATACTCCAGGGTATCACACTTTGCCTTGGGCCTCTGGTGAGGTCCTGAGGGAGATGAGTTCTGAGAAGGAGCCCCAAAAGGAGTTAAGATTAATGAAGAGTCAGAATCCACAAAGCCTGAGTAGGTTTGGTATATTCATACCTTTGACACATGTACCCTCCATTCTAGACCCCCCTGGCTGGCTTGATGCCTCTTTGCACAGTCACTGAACCCCGGGCTCCCAGGCAGTGGGGAGGCCTGAACCTGGCAACCTGCTTTCCACTCTGCTCCTAGCCAGAACCAGGCTGGAGCCCTGGAGATGTGATCTCTTCCTGATGCTGAGACCCAAGAGGAATTCCTTTCAAGTGTGGGTTGGTTGGTTTTTGGCCATATCCAGAGGCTTTTGGGATCTTAGTTCTCTGACCAGGATTGAACTTGTGTCCTCAGCAGTGAAAGTGCAGAGTTCTAACCCCTGAACTGCCAGGGAATTCCCTCAAGAGTGGATTTAGTAGCAGATATTTTACACACGGAGGGCTTCCCAGGTGGCTCAGTGGTAAAGAATTTGCCTTTCAAAGCAGGAGACACAGAGACACAGGTTTGATCCCTGTTTTGGGAAGATCCCGGGGGGAGGAAATGGCAACCCACTCCAGTATTCTTGCCTGGAAAATCCCATGGACAGAGGGGCCTGGTGGGCTGCAGTTCATGGAGTCACATTTTGTGCATGATCCCGGGGTGAATAATGGACAAAGTCAGTAGCCATTTCTGAACTCCCCACAGAGGCTGCTCCTGGTCCTTTTTGACTATTCCCCAAGTTCAATGATACACTTTCACTGTGGTAAGTTCATCACTTCGCAGACCACCACCAACCCCCGTCAGGGGGAACATCCCAGCTCACATCTCCAGTTGGCTGGCCGGGGGCCGACGCTACCCTGTTCTCCAGGAGGCTTGTCTTGCCCTGCCCTGCAGGTAAGGCCCACCTCTTTGTGTAAGCCACAGCTGCCCTGGGGGCTCAGATGGTGTAGTGCCTGCAGTGTAGGAGACCCGGGTTCCATCCCTGGGTTGGGAAGATCCACTGGAGGAGGAAATAGCAACCCACTCCAGTATCCTTACCAGGTTAATCCCATGGGCAGAGGAGCCTGGCAGGCTGCAGTCCATGGGGTTGCAAAGAATTGGACACAACTGAGTGACTGACACTTTCTCTGTGTAAGTCCTGCATGTGACAAGTGTGTAAAATCTAGCTGCAGATGCTGATGCTGTCTGAGATTTGCTTGGGCAAATCTGGTCTTCCTGTTCTGATACTATCATCCTTGTTCTCACTTTCCTGTTCTCCACCCACTACCCTACATGTCTCTGCACCACTCAACTCTATGGTGTCCGTCCCTGTGGCTCCCTGTTTTGGACACATTTCTCTATTTCAACCTTTCCACAGTCACTTGGACACGATGTGGGCTTTTGCCCTCTGACCTAAAGGCCTCTTATCTGTCTCAGACTTCCTACTCTAAACCCATCTCTATTTGATAAGAGAAAAGGAAGTCATTTGACATCTGTTTTTCTTTTCCTTTTCTTTTTTGGTCATGCCATGCAGCTTGTGGAATCTTAGTTCCCAGATCAGGGATCGAACCCAGGCCCTCAGCAGTGCTAGCGCAGGGTCCCAACTGCAGAACCACCAGGGAATTTCTGACATTTCTTAAGTATCTAAATAGGAGTATTATGTTTCATCTTCCCAACAACCTACTAGTTAGCTACCTATTTTCCCCATCTTGCTGATGAGAAAAATGAGGCTCAGAGAGGTGAGGAAAACTAACCTGCCCCATATTGAAGAATCTGAAAATGATAGAGTGAAGATCAGGACCCAGGCTTGTGTGCTTCTGAAGTCTAGCCAGGATTTTTGGTGAGAAATCTGACCCAATTTATGACCTATTTTTTTTAAAATTTTTAAAAATTATGTATTTATTTATTTTTGTCTGTGCTGAGTCTTCATTGCCGTACATGTGGGCTTTCTCTAGTTGCAGTGCTTGAGCTTCTCATTGCAGTGGCTTCTCTTGTTTCAGAGCATGAACTCTAGGGCGCTCAAGCTTTGGTAGTTGTGGCTTCTGGGCTTCGTTGCTCCACGACAAGTGGAATCTTCCCAGACCAGGGATCAAACCTTTGTCTCCCATGTTGGCAGGTGGATTCCTAACCACGGAACTGCCAGGGAAGTCCTTCAGAAATTTTTCATCATGCTAACAGACACTCTGTACCCTAACTAAACAAAAAACTCCCCATTCCTCTCTCCCTCCAATCCCTGGTAATCTCCATTTTTTCTGTTTCTCTGAATTTGCCCTTTTGTGACTGACATATTCCACTTAGCATACTGTTTTGAAGATTTGTCCATGTTGTAGCAGGCCTCAGAACTTCTTTCCTTTGAAAAACCCATGATTTCTCCCCCTTCTCAAGGTGATCTATTCTTG